TGTGTGTGTCTCTATAAATATATATTTTAGCAATAAATATGTTTTAGATATGTTATATGTATTATTTTATATTTAATTTATGTTTTTAAATTAAGTTTTAAATTTTTTATTTAAAAATATTAAAAATTACAATTTGAGGCAAAAAGGGTTTTTTCGTGAAAATAGCGGCACAAGGCGCCTTTGGCCATTGGGATGCATAGATATTGAAAAGTTACCCAAAAAAAATCACCCCAATAGGACATCGAAGTGCAATGTTATGGCCTCTGAAAGTTTGTATACATTGAGTACGCAACATGTGACCCGGTTACCGGGTTGGATGGGTCAATGGTCAAACTAGACAGGTCAAACAATTCTTGACCAAGTCAACAATTTTTTACCATCTAGCGGGTCTTAACTGAACCAAACCCATAATCCTAGCTGAGTGACGGTTCAAATGGTTCGACCGGCCAAGTAAACAATGGGTTGAAAACATTGATTCAAATAACGAGTTTGGATTCGTAGTCCCTTGTTCAATTGGAATAACCACCCGCAATATTGGGTAAGGCCGAAAAAGTCAGGTTGGGTTGGGTCAAGTTAATGCTCAGGTTAGAGTTAAGGTTTATGAACCCAGCTTTACTTCGAGTTGGGTTAGGATTGATGCTTCGGGCAACCCAACCCAACCCATACACTATCATTTATTTAGATGCATGATAGTTGTATAGTCACCACCACACACTATCATTTATTTCATTTAAGATAATCACTTCACTTAATCCTAATTGGAAATACTAAAACCTTGATAATATATTTTATGTTTTCTGAATATTTTATTCTTTATCTCCTCTTTGTTATTTGCTACCCATAGCTTGCTGCCCATAAAAGATCTATTATAAGTCATCATAATAAACTATAATCATTTCAAACACTTTTTTTTTCTGAATATTGTACTTAAAGAACCAATAAAAATATTAACAAACAAATACTAATAAAACATAGGATTAATATATGTTATCTATATATTAAAGGAAGGTAGTCATGCTGAAGCCTCCCCCATTTAGACACATGGCGCTCTAATTTTCTAGAAAACAGTATTTTAGAAGTGGTTAGTTACATTTTCAAATAAAATTCAAAATTCAAATCACTCTTTCAAAAAATTTAAATTAATAGATGCATGCTCAACCGAATAAGAAGCATACATGGTGGGACCCATTAGTATCACAAATACACGGTTCAAAGTTTATAATATAAAATATTTAAAAAAAAATGAAAAAATGCAG